GGGTGTGAAAAGGACCAGGGGTGTGAAAAGGAGTGTCGCTACACTGTATGTTCATCATGACCGCCGGATCGGATCCGGCACTGAGCGGCGCTCAGCGCTCAACATATACAGGTGTCCATCACTGCGCATGCGTTCACTTTCGCGGGTATATTCAACTTGATCTGAGGACTCAGTAACAAGGCATATTTGTTGGCATATCTCTTGGGAGCGGCAAGTGATGCTTTACCGCCATGCGGAATAGCGGAGATGCAGAGTCAAACTTGAAGTGCACGTATACGTACTGACTACAACAGAACGTTTGATCAGGCATTTGGGGACGACTCGTACGAGTACCCAGATCCCGCGTTGGGTAATACATAGGAAGTACTCATGACGAACACTTAGTAGCATGCAAGCCACTGCAGCAGACGAAAACATTTCAGCACTCATCGATTTAGAAGCGACATGAAATTTGACGTCTAGGATGGGTATCCTCCGTTAGCAGGTCTCCTGCTCTTAAGGGCACTCATCAGGTGTGCGTTCTCTGAATCACGCTGTGTCTTCTATGAACGGAACGCGCAAGCTTAATGTCCGGAAATGCTCACTTCTGAACATGGAAACCTCTGCTCAGATTGATACAGACGCGGTTCAGCCCCAGTATGGTCCGTAGAAATCCTGAATTGATTGTCGTTGTTTTCTCCAGCAGTGTTTGACACGCCACCGTGCCTCATGTTGCTGTCAGCGAACTGGGGAGTCGTCGTCTCGTCCCCACCCTGAGCATACGCTGCACGAATGTTGAAGATAAATATTGATCCCAGGATGATGGCCAACCTAATAAAGCAAGCGTCCATAAACCTGACTCCTAATAAGAAATAGTGCCGCTCACGCTTATAATAATACGACATCAAACCTGCCTCTCCTTCTGCGTTGCATTCAGTGCAGAACTAAACGCCACGAAGACGTGAGGCGCACCTGATTGCTCAAATTGATCAGATTCACGACATTGGCGAATAAAATTGCTCTACAGTAAAATGATTTATGATCACTAGGGATCAATACTGTATATCGCACTCGGCTGGGTGAACGTATACGACTGTAGATGCTGGTAGTCAATATGGAAGAAGCTCTTAGGGGAAAGCTGCGCACCTCGTTTGACTCGGAGAATGACTGGATGTACCCCATACAGAGCACACGGATCAAGAGCAGTACATACGAGATGGAAAGACGAGGTATGAGAGGTTTGCGTCCGAGGGCGAACACCTCCACACATGAGTAATCTCTTGCGGTATGGTCAGGAAATGATCATTTAGAACAATTGCTGGAGAAGCATTAAGAATCATATAATACATCTCACATAGGATACAATGATTCGACCGACTCACTTATGGTGACAGAAAAACAGTACCACCTACTCCTTGTGGTTAGTATTTGCAATTCGCACTTGCAATCACGGATATACTTACGCAGATTCATGTTCGTCCATGTCGCGCTCGGAGTAAGTGAGCTGTGACATGCTGAAGCTCCGGAGCGAACAGCAGTGACAGTGCATCACACAAGTTGGGTGAATTTTGTCTTGCTTGAGCACAACTTGAGCGCTGGAGGCAGTGGGAGCCGACAGCCACATTTACATCGACGTATAGCAGAAGGGCCGCGCTGCGGTCAGCCCAGTAAGCCACCCATTGATCCGGGCAACATCATCACTGATTCGGAGAGCTGCCAGATTCGCATACGGGCATGGCAGCCGCCACTGCGTTCACGTCCGCTGCGCAAGTCGTCAACAAGCCCGCTGGTAAGTCTACATCCAAATGAGGGGTCGAGAAGGGTTAATACAATACCCTCGATCAGTTCTCCCGCGCGGCACATGCGTATGTGCGAATTTGACTGCGTCGTAGCTTCTGTTGTGGTGCATGTACTCGTAGAACACAGAGTGCAGAACGCGGGCTCCAGCGCTCGATCCACTCGCATGTGCACGAGCAGCTGAGTCTAGACCAGCCGGATTCTGCGCGGCATTCAATAAATAAGGTGCTTCTTGAAACAAGGTGTATTGGCCCCGATCCTCGCATCGGTTACAACACGCGGCGTACGCAACTCTGATCTCGCTCGTAGCACCAAACTCTCGCCACTTGTACTCCTGCGGTGGTGAGATTGCAGCTCGGAGAGTGCCTGATTGAGTGATGATCGTGTTTGGCTATCAACTAACCGCATCAGCAACTCGTTCGTCAGACATGATGTAAGTAAGCATCCATACTGCTAGCCTCTTGATCTCCTACAGCCATCTCGAGTCGCTGTATGGGACTTACCTGCGTGTCGCGGGGGTCTTCATTGCTCTCTTGACGAAGTAAGCTATTTTCATTGTATTCGAGCTGCAATGGCCCTCGAAGCTATGGACAAGAACTTCCCGTTGGGATCGTCGATAATTTGTGAAGGAATTCGATCATTGCAGATGATGCTACGGCGTCTAGATCCAAAGGTGAGCGGACAGGCCGTCGTCTCGTTCCAACTGGGGCTAATAGCAAATAGCAAATAAGACTGCAAAAATAAATTTAAAAATCCGACATCCCTATATAAACATGAACAGCTCACCAAGACGTCTTGCGCAGGAGCCGTGCTGACCGAACGGACTAGTCCAAAAGACCGCATGACGTGGCTGAGCCTCGAGAGCGTGTGCGTCGCCGAGGGTCGTGACGAAGCACGATATATACGGTGTCTCGAGGTGAGTCATCGCCGCGCACGATGGCATGGGGCTGGGGCTCGGGCGTCGGGCATGGAGCGGGATGGGGAAGAGAAAAGAAGGAAGGGACGGTGCGCAAGAATGGCGAAGCGAGACGGTGACATCCGAGGCAGACGAGTCTGGCGTCGAGGAGGCGCTGCAAGCCGTCTAGATCGACGACATACCTTTGTCAGGTCCACGTGATCGTTATTGCGCGATCTGACCGTGTACGCTGGACCGCGATCCTATAAAGCAGGACGCCCGCCAGTCCGCCGCTCCAACTTCACAAACCACCACTCACCTGCCTCGTCCAGTCCCTCCACGCCGTTCTTCACACATCCAACATGCCCGTCCAAGTCGTCGAGTCGCTCGAAAAGTTCAGGGAGATCGTGAGTCGCCCCCCGCCGGCCGCCTTGCACTTTTCCGGCCGCTTCCTGCATAGAGATCGCCTGACTCATCCGTTTTTCCCCTCGCCCCGCCCATCGCGCACGATCCACAGATCAACGGCGACCGGGTGGCCATCTTTGACTTCTGGGCGACGTGGTGTGGCCCCTGCCGGCTCATCTCGCCCGTTTTCGAGAGGCTCGCGGACCAATTCCCCAATGCAGACTTTTACAAAGTCGATGTCGACGACCAGGGTGAGATCGCGCAGGAAGTCGGTGTCCGTGCGGTGCGTATCCCCCCGCTGCCTGCTCGCGAGGCTTGTGCGCGCGACGAGGGGCTGACTGTGCCCGATGTTGGCAGATGCCCACGTTCATAGCATTTAAAAATGGCGAGAAAGTGAAAGACCTCGTCGGCGCAAACCTCGGCGGTCTCCAGGTGAGCATGCCATGCTACTTTCCTCCTGCTGGTCACTTATGCTGCTTTCATGTAGGACATGATCAAGAGCGTGGCGGTTTGAGCACACCCCTACCAGCGGCTCCCCATGGCTCCCGGCGGCGTTGATTATCGTTATCAGTAGTAGTCTCAAATTTTGTATCGCACAATCTAGTTGTACCAACAATGGCGTCGTACACCAGGAGCAGCAGGATCGTGCATAAACTGCAGTCGCCTCCGTCTAACGACGGTGCCACATCATCGTCGATCTTGACGATGTTCGCTACCGAAATGCAGGTCAGATACGATTGGCTCTCGGAGAATCTCACGTGGCTCACGGCAAGACGGGCGGAAGAAGAAAGGTAAACGTAAACCTCGCGAATAGAGATACAGGGCACCCATCGACGCACGAAGAAGTTGCCACATTGAAATAGTCATCTCTATGAAGAAGAGGTGCGCCCGATACGGCGTATTACCTACTGGGCTGGTCGTGAGCGACAGCTACGTCGGCGGCTGCGATGAGACTCACCTCGCCGAGGAGATAGGACGAGCGAGACTCGGGTTGGCGTAAAAAGCACGAGGCAGCGTATGGGAATATAATCGCGTTTATTCCATCGAACACGGTGGGCAGAAAATGCCAGCGTACATTGTCATGCACTCCGCATTGCCGCAACCGGTCGCGCAGATCTCGCCAGGTGCCGTGAGCAGCGATGGCGAAGCTGGGGATTGAAGGACATCAATCGAATCGAAAATACCGCGTCGGACAGCGGACTTACTTACCGTACTGAATGCTAGCGAAGTAAGGCTGTGTCGTGGTGCTGAAAGAAGTGTACCTACCATGGGAATGGTAGGGTCTGGAGAGGTTCGTTTCACAGCTGACATACGGGCGGACAGCGATTGGTCCGTCGAAGCAAGTTGCTTCGGGACATTGCCAACGGGTATTGCGCAAGTGGTTGTGAGGGGAAACAGCGGGATGAATGCTCACTGACGGTGCGGTGCGTAGGAGGCAATGGCGGACAATGATGCTGAGATGACGTTCGAGTGGTCAAGAGGTGGAAGCCAGAGCTAAAGAAAGCCTGGGGGAGACGGAGGGCAGTCATAAGACAGACGGGAGTCCGAATGGGTGGCGAAAGGGAGAGGAGGTGGGAGAGCCGACAGTGATAGGCAGGATGATAGGATATAGGCAATAGCTGAGCAAAGAGGGACGACTTGGCAAGGGTGAGGCTGATTGCCCTGTGTCTTCGACATGTCTGGTTACGAGATCAACTGAGGGAATGCTGTGGGATAGAGACAGATAAGTCGAGGGCAAGGAGCCATTTGCGCGTGCCAAGAGAGCGTGCGGGGGCTGTATGCATGGCATTGCAAGCTGCTATTCATAGCCTGCGGGAGCCGTGCTGATCTGCATATATGAACGCTACCAACCAAACTCAACGAGCGAGAGAGTGGGCAGCAGGCGCAGGGGACACGGCGAGAGACAGCGTGTGTGGGGACACACATGGCGACAGTGCCCTACTGTGGATGCGAACAGTGGCCTCGAGGAGGGCCAACGTGCAAGGCGACGGTGAGAGAACGGGCGAAAGATTGTAAGCAGCCGGGCCAGTTCCGAGTAGGTTCACGACGAGAACGGCCCGCGATAGATGATACAGAGTCGCATAAATTCACCGCTCGCCAACTCGCCGCCCTCGAGAACGACGACCACCGCGAAGACAACGACGGCCACGACAACGACGACAACGACGACAACGACGACAACGACGACGACGACGACGACGACGACGACGAGTCCAGCCCCGAGCCACACAGCGGCGCCGCCGACAATCCGCCGGGGCGCCAAACAGAGCGCCAAACAAAGCAGCCACCGCGTGCGCTCGTCGTCGACCTCGACCTCGACCTCGACCTCGACCGCGACCGCGACCGCGCCGTGCGCGCCCTTC